CGTTGGTGACAATATGAAAATTCGTATGTAAACTCCTTGAATTAGCGAGCAAACTCCTGAGCTCGGCTGAGGGAAAGCGAACACATACTCCAACACTGACTCACAATGCTAGAGCCGACCGTATCGATCTCTGTATTCACAATCTCCGCAGCATCACCGTTCTGGGGAACCTCAGTAGGCTCGAAGGCAGTTGGCCGGAAAACAAGTACCTAGGCAACGACCATCAACCACATAAGGGTTTTCGACAAACTACTTTCACAGGGTCCGAGGACTTCACTGTAGCGATCACATTACCAGCATACATCGGCCTCTTAAAAGTGTCATTCGAGATGACCTTGATGACCTGGAAGAGCAGAGCCAAAATAACACTAACCCGATCGCATCATTCCGATTCACATCAGTGATAGGCTGGGTATCTAGCATGGCTGCTGCCCGCGGCAGAGAGTCTCTGATAACACTGCTGTTGCCTGAGTTAAGAACCGGATCCCCCAACGAGCATGAAACCCTAGAAATGAGTACCAGCGACTACATTAGAAGCTCCCGCCTCCTTCGTTAGCTTTACAACGGCGTTAGCAATAGTGTCGGCTGCTGGGTGGTCCAGCGCGGCGTCACCAGGGTTACAGTGATAGACCTATACCGTGAACGTCGAGGGGCTAATACTGGTATCCAGCTGACCTTCTCAACCCCAGGTAATCGAGCTGCGGCTTCTGCAGCTTCTCGCGAACCTATGAACAAATCGCGAGGTCTGGTTCCTTGCATCATAACACCTTACCTCCAGCAAGCATAACGGAGAAACTTTTAGTCAACTGGCTAGCTGCTGTAGCAGCACAGAGAGATGACTGAAACTGAGCTATGGACGGTAACGGGAATGCTGAACTTTACCTTTTCTAATTTGCCTCCTCGTTGCTCCGCTACAAGGATGGTTGAGAAGAGCCTCCTGGTTGTCGGTGATCCGGAGACTCCCCGAGCTATCGTGCTCGCTCTTAAGGTACTCGATGCTCTAGACGCTGATGATAACATCTCTTATGCGAAGAAAAACTCGATTAAAAAACCTATCAAGGAACACGACTCATACCACTCCTCCTCCAATTAACACCACATATACCCCCGCAATAACAACTTGATAATAACACGGACCAGCGTGGCTTATGAACTGCACTCACAGAAGCCTTCAACCTCAGCAAACCCCCGGATGTCGGGAGGACATGCTAGCACTGCCGATTCACAGAAGACTTTGTAACTCTTCTTCGCGAGAATTCCTGATCCCTTCGCCCCATCCTCGTTAACCCTACCGCCAGCTCACTAACATCACTCCGCAGCAGTCTACTAGACCTGGTCTTCTTCCTCCACCGCGAAAACTCCGATCGCGAAAGCCTTTCACCGAGTCTCGTACGTTGAGTACATAGGATGCTCCCGATTTCGAAAACTCTGCTATCCATCCCAATCACAACTAAGTTTGCATTACTGGAGAAGGCTAGGGCTTTATGCGCCGCGCAGAGGAGCTGAGGAATGCTTAGAGCACGCTAGAGCTGCAAGATTTTGCGAGAATATACCACTTGTTATCAACATTCCTCATTCCATGTCAAAGCGCATCTCTGAACGCTTGGTCACATCCAAGTCCCGCAGTGGACACAGAAGTACATTACCCAACTTTCGAGGTTCGGCACATACGATCGGGAGGACCTCTAGCTGAGGCTTTGAGTCTCTGATCAGCCCTTCAACCCGAGGATCAGCCTCAAGCAGCGAAGCCACGCCTTACCCTCTCCCAAATGGACCTTGAGAGCGCCTTAGACGAAATATTCGACAACGATATAGAGCACAAACCGCAAGGACTCAAGAACAACGACGCTAGCAAAACTCGAAGGAGATCAGAAAGAGCAGCGGCCAGACGCCGACGTTCAAGTGCCTCAGGTGGACCCATTACTGGTCCACTGGGGTGCTGCCTCAGCCTCAGTAATCCCTAGGTGCATCTAGGAATAGTCTTGAGAGCATTGAAGAAGGCGAACTGAGGTCACGCCGAGGCAGCCTGGAGACCAACGATATCACTCCATCGGGCGTAAAATCGTCCTCCCCTCTTCGAAGTATTGACTAACTTCTACTTCATCAGAAACCCAAGATGCTACAGACATCACTCAACGGCTCTGGCGTGGAGATGGTCGCGGAACGACGAACCAGCAATGGTGAGGCATCACATAGCCACCGGGCCAAGCCTGTTCGGCCAGGATTTGGGCCGAGCCCTGAGCGGCGCGAATCAAGAAGGCACAGCGTTAAACGTCCGGAAGGTGATCGTGAGGCTCCACTCGATGATTCCGAGCAGCCTGTCAACCCGAGCAGTTCAGGAATCCACACATCTGCTCAGCAACGTGCGAAAGAGTGCCCATTTATAGAGATGGAAACACGCTGCCGCTCAGGGCCCCGCAGATCCGCAGTTGCAGAGTACATTGCTATCTTAACGGGACGAGATGGCAGGGAGGATCGTGATGGGTGAGGCCAGGAACTGAGTGAGCACCCGCCGCTGTGTTGGAATAGACGACCTTGTAGGATGTGGCCTACAACAGAGCCGAAACAGGAAGACAAATCATCATCGTCGAGGTATGTCAACGCCGGGCCAGGCTACAAGAGATAACTGCTGCAGGTCTATGTCACCCGTGATCCCCAATAGGGCGCCGAGGCCAGCTGATCACAGAGAGCCGTCACTAAGGCATGAGCCACGCTTAGCGCAGTGGGATCGATGGTCTCAGCCGGTACGTTTAGTTCAGATGTGTACTCCTCGCCAGATAGCGGCTCGGGGAGGCGAGAACAGGCGAGCAAGGAAAGAGTGGTAAGGCTGATTTTACGTCTTTGACCGTCTCTAGAATAATAACCGCACATGCATATACTATTCCGGAAAGCGCTTGACTGTTAGATAGGGCTGGATTCATTGATAGTGCTCGGGTAGGAGTAATCCTATTGTCAACAGATCCCACAGTACCGGAAACCTAGCAATGAGTCTCAAGAGGTAAGAGAACAGCGAGCAGGAGCCCGTCGTGGTTCGACCGAGCACAGATCGATAGCCGAGTGAGTTTCCTCACTAACTGGCCTGATACTATACTATCGTTTATCAGATCGCACTCTCGAAAGAGCCAAACCGAAATACAGGAGTATTCAGATGATCTTGGTGAGCTCGATGCTCTTGACGGGTTGAGTCCTTAACAGTGTACTCGGAAGCAGTGACCGCCTCAACGAAATACCGCGAACTGGAAACAGAGCGGGCCGAGATGGTTCGCGAGTGCGAACGGAAGGATCAAGCGATAGAGGCACTCCAGAACGAGATACAGGTAGGGCGCGACTCAACAGCTATACATTGCGTAATGCAATTTGCCTCGTGAGCTCGCTTGATAGGAGTTGAGGGCAGCAAATGCCGCAATGAAGAAACAGTTGGTGGAGACGAACGAGGACATCGTGGACGTCTGCGAAGCGCTCGAGCGATCGAAAAAGAGAAGCGTGGAGATCACTGAGCAGCTCGCGTCAAGGCTTCTTCAGCTGCGTGTGAGCTCCACGAGCTAACAGTCAACGTTTTGCAACATGTCCCCAACTGGCCATGTCCGGAATCATTTCTTACCAATCTACGATGTTGATTATTAGTGCTCTCGAGTGGGAATTTCGGGCATAGCGATGGTTTCTTGCTGTGAAGTATTTCATACGTTTGCCTCGAGTACGGATGCGTTCAGACTCTCCACATTTGATGGTCTCTTCATGACGCATTCCCTCTAGGATATCATTGTTCAAGTGCTACAGACCAATCGCTGATTGGATTTTCGGTTAGCATTCGTACCAAACCGACTAAGTTTCGAGATCGACAGGAGTCGAACCTGCGCGGCCAGAGCCCCGTGAAATTCTGATCTACCTCCCTAACCACTCGGACACTCTTTCATACTATTTTTATTCTTTTGTCAGGATTGGACCCGTTGGTTTGAAACCTATAGATTTCATCTCGCACTTCACTTGTTGCGATCGGCGCCGCCTTAAACGGACGAGGCCATCAAAGAATGTATGCAAGGTGCCCCGGAGAGACCGAAACGGAAGTTAACGGAGATGACCGAGCATATTCCAGCCTCCTCCACCTTGCTGAGGAGTCCTCAGTGAGGAGTTGATGTCCCAAGTGTTTGAATAGACGTGCTCTGGTCTCGAACTTGTGATAGGCGTGTATTATTTTCGAATCGCCCCGACATTACATCATGTAATTCCTGAATGACATACCATGTAATCTACGTGATGCACGTTCCTCAAGACCCCAACCTGAGCATGCTATGCATTGGATCCTTGCCCACCAATGTTTTAGCGAAGCACGTGGTTGCTTGGTTTCTGGTCGCGAGCAGCGTGCTCAAAAAAATCGCTGCTTTGAACGACAGCGGCAGGATTCGAACCTGCGCAGGCAGAGCCTAGTGGATTTCGAGTCCACCTCCTTAACCACTCGGACACGCTGTCACATAGGCTATGCAAAGACCTGTGCTGCTCGAAAGCTCCCCCTTGGTGTCTGGATTCTCGCTACGACTGGTCTTCAACCCCGACTAGAGATCGACAGTGACAACATTAGAGCCTCCGTGAAGTTCACGACGTGAACAGAACCCATTCGATATCGGTTTTGGTCTCGTTATTCGCTCGAACAACTTTTCAGGAGGAAATTCTGAAGGCTGTTAAAGTCTGACTTCAGGATTCGTTTACGGACTTCGTAAGCAAGTTAGAAATGCTCGATAACTAGGTAACAAAACGCACAATTAAAAACGAAAGGTATCGCAAGAGTGTCAAATTGGTACATAACATGAACACTGCAAAAGCGTGGTTATACTTCATCCTTCACGGATCGAAGAGGGCTTCTACCACAATGAGGCCCGCCTTATTGGACGAAATCTGATCTACATCAGGGGACGTGAAAGCGAACCTCCCTGAGAGGCTAATAACAGTGCCTGATGCTCTTATCAACAATGCGCCCAAGCCCACGGCGTGCATCCAGTGATTGAAGCTTGGGCTCCCAACCCAGTTCATCAGAATGACCTAACTGCTCGACGAGCAGTTAGGTGTTACGTAGCAGTTAGGTGGCAGTTACGTGAGTGACGAGCAGTGCTCGTCACTCACTGCCGAGTGAAGTAGATGGGGAATGGGTACTCAACCCAACAAGATGGGCCTTGAGAGCAGTTTATCCGATTCCAGTCACCACGGTGAGGCTAATGAAGTGGCTTCCACCTCCTCACCGATGGTATTCATTCCATCTGATATCACCTTACCATTGACTATCACGCAACAGTCAGTGACGATAGGCTAAATGCACTACAGAATCCCTCGGACTTTGAAGAATCACAAATCGAAACACTAATCAACCACCGAGGAGTATGTAGCATAGGACAAGAAAGTTACAACGACAGTGCAGCTAGCGACGGGCCTCCTTCAGCCCGGCCAGGTCTTCAAGTACCCGCTAAGGAGGGTACCAACTCCAAACATCCAGAATAGCAGCCGTCCATACAAGAGAGCATCGACGACTGAAGTAAAATGGGCTCCCACGGCTAATGTTCTCGCCTAATGGCTGTATGTTGATCGCCCGGTTGCCACTTCAAAGTCCGCTCTTCTGGCTGAAACCTTCTGCGGCAGCGAGTTCCGGCGATTTCGTCCGCTTGATCGTTGGCCCTTCCTATTACCAGGGAGCATCGGAATGGGCACTTTCGTCTGAAGTTCGCTTTCGGCCTCCAGATGGGACTGCGCAACCGAAGGGCTAGCAAGTCCCAAATCTTCATCTTCACTCGTTTCCTCAGCCCAGTCGAAGCTTGTCGACATTCTGAGCTTTTGCTCCATCCTTTCTTCCCTACTCGGCTCGGTACCCGTAGAGTCGCTACTCTCCCTGACTTCCGCCTTTCCTCCCACATCCACCTCTATCTCCTTACGCTCGTGCACACGAGCCGACCCAGCAGCAGCAGCGTTAAAAGACCGCTCAGCGAATAGAGATGGTCGCCAATCCAAGGCAGCCTCTCGTTCCACCGAGGCATCACTCTCCGCCTCCAAAGCACCACCCATACGAGCCGACTGTGTGTTATCGATCACATTGGCAACCTCATTTGGCCACACTGCGTGGGCGGACCTCCTTGCTGGGTCCATCGCGCCCTCAGGACTTCTCCCGTTGGGTATCCACTCCCCAGCCATATCTTCGCTTGCGTCTCCACTACTCGAGTCGTCGATGGAGCCAACACTTGGAGAGACATGAAAGTCTATCCCTGCAGACCTATTCCTCGGCAGAGGCAATTGCAACTTCGGCACCACCCGCGGACGAATCTCAGCTGCTGGCTCTTCGGTATTCACAGAATAGTCGGGCGAGCGCAACGTCGATAGCGTATCAGCATCTTTACTGATACCAGACATCTCCTCGTCGTCCAGTCGAGCATCCGAAGCCTCGTGTACTGACCATTCACTCTCGCATGGAGTTTCGTCCTCCCGACGCAGACTGGGAATCCAAGCCTCTTCTACCGAGTAAATTCCATCACCATCTTCGCCTTCATCATCATCATCATCATCGCCATAAACACGGCCATAAATCGGCTCTTCTGTCGTAGTTTCCTCTCGAGAACCACTGTCCTCATCAACACCTGACAGGACTCCTTCCAATAGCCATAATCCTTTCAAAAGAGCACACCTGTGGGAGCCACCACCACTGACTCATCCGGTAGGGCCTGCGGCTTCGGAGGCATCCTCGGAGGCTTGCCAACCACAGCGCTGGGTACGACAGCTCGGCGAGGTTCCACCGGTCCCCACTTCCACCACTCTGCTGACAACGGCAAGGTTACCTCCCTTGCTCGGTTGTACCTCAAGGAGACCTCTGCCACCCATAGCAGAGAGCATATACTACTCTCGTCGCTCCGCTTTAGGCATTGTCTGCACAAACGTTTCCAAGAGAGTCACCTCCTCAGCCTTTTGGGCCTCTATCGCTGCATCGGAAGCGTGGAAACCAATCTGAACAGCTCAGCCTTTCTCAAGATTCCCCTCAACAGACGTAACACTGCTGCTCACCTCGGTGGTCCAAAAACCCTTCTCCTTCGCAGTTCGAGCAATCGCTTCCACATGTACCACTTTCTGGTGAGTCTTCAGCAAACGAACGATGCTGAACAGAAACTATCCTCCCACACTGATAGTCCACCCCTATCTGACGACCTTCCGATCCAACCCTCAAAGAAAAAGACCGAAAAGAGTATCAAACACTAATCACACAGAGGAGAAGAGACTTACGATTCTACCTCTTAACCAGAGCCTTCCGTGCTTTGTCATCAATCGCTGTCACCAACTCGATCCGAGCATAGCTCGACACGCGGAGGTACACTACTAGTGCCTCAGCAGTGCCATCTTCCGCCTGAACACAGCCTTCACAGAGCTCTCTCCTATACCGTTATCACCATAGCCACGGACAACCGCAGCCCCGAACGTCGGGTCACTGCCGTCCATATTCCTTTTCCCGTATCTCCCTCAATGTGTACTCCTGTGATTCGTAGCAGCTCATTTATTGCCTCTGTTTTGGCTGCTGAACGAGGAAACATCTCACCTCAGTCTACCCACTTCTTACCATCACTTCGCATTCAAGAAGGCTACTAACATCCGAGAATATTCCTCTCAATGTTTTTATTACCTCCTTCACTAGACGGCCGCACATCGTGGACGATATTGAACTGCACGTCCTTCTCTATGTGATCTACTCTACTCTCCTTCTTATCAGTCGACTCGTGACGCTCTCTTCTGGGGTTTCCTTTCGCCGTCCGATGCTTCCACTGCTTCTTACGCACACCCTCGGTCGCCGGGCGGTCCCCCAAAGGCCCATTAGAGCTCCCGTGTCGATCGATCCACAGCGTCCTCATATTGATTCTGAACAGCACTACATTTCCTTTTCAACCAAGACACCATCCGCTCACCCGCCGAAAGCCACAACCGCCAATAGGGTAATAGCGATGATAAAAAATACAAAAGCAACATCGGCCATCCGTCCTCCGAACAGAGCGACGGAAGCCTCTGGCGCTGTCATAGCTGGTTTTGGTACTTTAGCTTGCATCCCCTTTATCGTATGTATCGCCAAGACACTAGCAATACGGAAAATCACTCTGTGCGCAGACAGCATACAGAAAAAAGGAGTAAAACCGGGTATGTGATAGAAAAGGCAATCTGAAAAGCCAAGAAAAGTTTTATTCACAAACACCATGGCCTCCACACAAGAACCGAGACCCTTGCCGATCCACGACACAACGCATGCACTCGAGAGAAGAGCTTCTACATCAACCGATGAGTGCCGAACCCGAGAGTCCAACCAAGCCTTTGCATAAGGAGCTTGAGCATTCAGACTATCATATCCTAGCACCCCTACACTCATCGTATAAAGCGATGGAGATTCAGATATCAGCGACTTCTGATAACCAAAGACTAGACTGGAAAGTCGTTAAATACCCCCTTCCCATTGATAACGCGAGACCATCGGGCGTCCCGAGAAACACCCACACTACCCTCTCTTCAAAGCAGTGAACAGGATGTGCACGAAATGCAACAACAATGTCACGTCCGTCAGGTCAGTCACAACACGACACGGCCCGACTGTCACCCCCTACAGAGGACTACTACTACTACCTAGTAGCTCTGATGAGCCGGCAAGGTAGTGCCCGTCGAGGGATCGAACACCCATGGCTTGGGTTCCTCTTCCTTCTTGCCGAGCCTGTTCAGTGGCACTCATTCAGACTCATAGCCCCAGCCTTACTTGATTTGCTCCAAAGCCTCCTTCGCCTTCGCAACCACACGATCATAGCGCCCTAGCTCTGCTCGAATAGAGATGAGATCCGTCTTGTCAAAACTGAAAGAGAACTTCCGCCCCAACCACCGTTGCATAGAAGACCACGTATTATGCGAGACACTGTGGGCGCTGTGATATTTAGAAGTGCTGAGCAGTTCCCGAGACTACCGGCTTCCATCCGGCTTCCACCCTAATGGAAGAATCGCAATCTGCGGGGAGTCTTCAACTTCCATATCGTATCTGACGAAGAGGTGAATCACTTGGGTGTGAAAAAGCAGAAACACGTGACAACCGCAATAGCAAGGGAACTCAGGAAGTCAACGATGAACTCAACGTGGCAAAAGAGCCTCCCGTCATTAACCGACTCACGCCGCGGTAGGGACCTCATCCATATCAACTTTATAAAAAGTAGCCTCAGGGTAACTTGTCGAGAGCTTCTCAAACTCCGGCTCGAACATCTTGGCACCAGTAGACCACTTCGCCGCGAACCATCCAACCATCATGTGAGACGTCTGCTTCAACGCCTCGTAATCCGCGTAGTTATTTATTCGCTGAGGAAAAGTCAATTACAGCACACTGTCATTTCAGAAACTCAACGTATAGGATACATATTGTAAACCCGAAGAGCATCGTAAAATCTAGTGACGCATCATCCTGTGAAAATTTTCTTGCCAACTAATGGCTTCGATTTTGAGAGTTCGAACATAGACTTTTCTCATTGGAGTGCTCTTCGGGTGCATTGAAGTTCAATCCTTCCTCGTTTGAAACTACGACGCGAACTCACCTTAACAGTGCTACTACCACCGACAGCAGCAGCTGAGCAAAAATTTCTGCCAAAGCTTTGTAGACCGAACCGTGAAGCAGAGGGAAGCATCATTGGCAAGAAGAATGACCTCCCTAAGAGATAATAAAGATGCTCACACACAAACCACTTTCGAGTGATTGACATTTGCACGAAAAGCTTTCGTGCATTTCATAGACCCCTAGGCCTCCTGGAGAATTTTGAGATAGGCCCAGGAGTTTGGACATATTTGGCCTCTCTAGCGGTCAGTTTACGGACTCCAAGCTACTTGTTCTGGTGTGAAATCTAGCACGCTCAACCTCCGTAACTGTAAGGTATAGTATGTCACCTAACGGACGTCGATGTGAGTACAACATGTCCATGCGTGCATTGATAGTAGTGATAATGTGAGTAAGACTCTCGGAAGAGGTTCCTCGTTTTTGCGAGGCCGGTCGGCCGCAGCGCTCATCTCGACAACCTGTTCACGCAGCGCGTCAAGTCGTTCTGGGACAGTCAACTTGCTCAGGCTTCTCCAACAAACTTTGATAGCAATCGCACAAGAAAGGAATAAGTTGAATAATAACTAGGCGTTGATGGTTATATGGATCACATTAAACTCCGCAAATGGGCGGGTACTTGCGCACTGAGCTCTTTACGTCAACATATCAGGTTCTGGTTTTAATCACGTATCGGTTGAAGCGAATTCAACGTATCAAGGTTGGATAGGCGATTACCACGTCAAGAGCGTCTGTGCTATCGCATTGGAATCTCGAGGTTCATCAGAGATGTAGATAAGAGAATTGTGGGGATGTAGCGGCAACTGAGCGGTCACAAACATCGCCCGATTAGTTCAGCTGGATAGAATGTCTGCCTACGGAGCAGATGGTCGTAGGTTCGAATCCTGCATCGGGTACTTATACCTGCGATGTTCTTGTGTGTAAGCATCTTTCCCTTATCCACCAAAGAACCGCCTCAACAAGCACAATCAACTTTTCGATGCAAGTGGCAGCAAGAATGGTGTGTCAGCTAAGTGACCCACGCGTGCTCGTTATGTCATGATCGAAGTTGACTGCGCTTGCTATATCGGCATCTCACACGTACAGCTCTGTTGCAGCTCGCAGGAGCCTGCTGGCAGCTGCTACAACGTATCTGTAGAAATTTCGGCGTTCCCTTCTCAATACTAGGTATAGGAACTCAACCAACGAGCGTAATCAACAACAGATTCCATTGTGAATCAATCTCATGTGTTTGCACACATTATTCGGCGTACCGTCTAGGAGTCAACTAGATCGCATGAACGATCAATACCAATGCACTCATCAAGCCGCTTGTTGGGAGTATCATAACTGCCCTATTCCTCTTGCGACCTTCTTCAACCTCTATGCGCATCTCCTTGATAAGCCCGCACATTTTCTTGCACGTTCTACTGTAGGCTTCCTTGTGCGGCTTCGATTGGATGTAGTTGCCATACAAACCGCACTAAGAGGAGTAGCGAATGCTGAAATACTGTGGATACAATCTTACATCGCTTTCACAAGTCTCATCAGAGATGAGGTCCTTATTATAGCATATGCAGGTATTGAGCGATGGGTCGGTCTCGTTACCCATCCACATCGCTTCTGGCAGGCGGTTCCCGGCGGCGTCCCTGGCCTCGTCCGACAAGACACTAACACAGGTGGTTTCACCGCACTACAGCAAGCACGGAATATTTACCGAGTCACGGCAGTCTTGCTCGCGTTTCCCAAAGAAGTCATTAGCGTTGAACCTAGGAAGAGTCACAGATTCCTACTCTGCTATAATATTCGTTAAAATATACCCTCATTTATAATCAGATAATATCAATGTCTTATAAATATCCAATATTATAGTATATTAATATAATATCTAATATGCCGATGGGCGTACGAAGCCTCTCGTGACAGCTCGAAGGTCGGTACAGTTCCCAAAGGAAAGTCATACACAAGGAAAGGTCAATACAGAATGCAAGAGATGTCGAATCAGCATTGTTGACCACTTACGCTCCAGTGGGTTCAGCTTGCAGGGCAGCAGTATCTGCCAGGAAGTTGTGCACTTATCAGCCACCCTTGCGACAGCCCCATGTGAGTGTTATTTCTCCCACTACTAGCCAACTCTACACTAGGAAACCTACCGGGGCCGGTCGTGTCTGGTTTGGTGATGCTACTACTGTCATCCTTCTGCACATCCCTCGGACTGTGTGGGTTCACCTCAATACCCGGCATGGTCACGGCCGGAGCTGGCCCTACAACAACGATCGGTCCCTCATCACTCGACAGTTCATACCACCCACCTCCACCGGGTGTCACAGTTCTTCCTCCAGAGACTCTGTCACCTGAAGAGACAATGCGAAATGCTGTTAGCGACGAGTGCATCGTACTTCCTGTAGTGGGTCTTGTAGTCGACACTTCGGGCATGGGTGGTCGCGTGATAGGACTATTCGCTCGCCTGTGCTCGAATGCTAAAGAAAAACCACCGGCAATAGTAAACCAGCACTGCCATATCTTGAACCCGACTAAACGGTGAATTCACCATGTCAACAATGTCAAATTACAAGTAAATCACTAAGAACAACAGGGCATAGAATCAAGGTATTACAATCAAAGGCTCGGTCCGTCTGCCATTCCTCGAAGTGCCTCCAAGCTGAACCAACCGAGACCACTACACAGTGGGCGAACAGATGAGTTCATCCTTACGCTCAGTGGCGTCTCGACCAGGTACTGTACGTACTGCAAACCGCGCCGGCAGCGAGGGGATGCTCAAGTCGGCTGACCTGACACGTAGTAAACAACATCACTGCTACTGTCAGCCATACGCCCTGCTTCCCTACAGGATCTGCAGAAGACTCGCTGCGTTGCACAGCATTTCAACGGCTAAAAAAACTAAGCTATGATGCATACACGTACAAGTTTCCATGCGAACTTTGGTAGAAGTGCACAGAAACCGAACAGAATTTTCCGAAATTTCCACAAATTTTCCATATTGTAGTTGACCATATGTACATTCATCCCCACACTGCCCTAGATTAACCAACAGCAACGCCTCTGTCCAGTATAGGACGCAATGAGCACAGGATAAGGCTTGCTGGTTCATCATACTACGAGAAGAGATAATACAAGGCAACAGCGGAGAAACTCCTTTGCTGGTTGTGTCAGAGAAACAGCGAGTCGTCTTTAACTTCTATGGACTCAAGAATGAGCCACAGATTCTTCTCCAGCACCGAACTGGTCTCGAACCCACCGGCCGATTGTGAGCCATGGGTCAACGTTACTACCATATCCGAGGAATATTCTGAAGGGAATGATCATTACAGACTCCGCAACCAACACAGATCTATTACGTGGCATACGCCTTATCCCCATCGCCAATGGTGTCCATTTGAGTCCTTCCTTGTCGTGTATATGACGCCCGTTCACCATAACCTGCCAACAACACGTGTAGGAGGTGCATTCCCTACAGACGATGGTGATATCGTGTACATTCCGATAGAAAAACCCTAAAGTGATGCACTCACAAATGTCTTTGAGCCTAGGAGATGGATTCCCTACAGGCATTTTCCGATGGAAAAAAACGTCAAGTGACGCGTCCACAAACGATCTCGCATGATCAGCGAAGTAGATTCAGCATCGAATTTTACCAGGGAGTCTCCATTCGCTGCCTTCCGACAGCTAATCTCGTCGATGTCATACGATACACTATCAGTGGCTTCGGCTAGGTCGCTGAAGAAGTGCCTGGGAGAAGAGACCCGGGTTCGATTCCCAGGGGCTCCATTTCTACCAACCTTGCAACCTCATCAGACTCCTTGAGCTCCTCTACGAAGTTCAACAACTCGATCACAAGACTAGCACCAGAATCGTCTACCACATTGGTAAAGACCTGAAACCCAATCATCGGCAATCCTAGGCTATCGCAACCAGCGTGGAAAATACGGAAATTGCAATAAATTTTGGGAGTTTCTTATTGATTTCTATACACAAATTCCTATATAAACTCCTATAACTAGTGGAGAAATTCCCGACTGTCGAAAGCAAATATACATTCCTCCAACACTGATCATAACAAAACATCAAGACCAAACGAGCTACGCCCTGACTCTACCTCCTGGTAATCAGGCACAGTCCGTACAGTGCTGGAGTCGGCAAACCCCTTAGGTATAAGGCATTCAATAGCTCCACCGTACCTGACCCCAGAGTGATCCATACCATCATCAACTAACTCGTGCGTGTGAATGATAGGACAGAAACCCAGCCGCCCTTGAAAGACTCCCATGCACAATCGTCCACAAGCATTTTCACCAACTAGCATAGCAAGGGCCCCGTCCTACAGCTGTTTATCCTCCAAATCTCCCGGCTCCCATTCAGAAGGGTAACTATTTTCTCGACGACATTCTCTATTTGACATTAATGTATATGCAACAATTCTGATCAAACACAAACTGCTTCGCTCCGCCCACTCTTTATAAACTCCCCACATCAGATCAGCAGTGAAACGATAGTAAATGATCATTCAAGACTACCACTGCTACTCCAGGAACGTGGACGACCGCCACCACTGGTGGCGGTCGCATAATGCTATACAATGACGTAGTACTTATGATACCACACTTTTTACGTAAGTCGACCCGCCTCTAGGCAGCACAGTCTCGAATCAGTATGAGCCTTCTATGACTCTAGTCGGACCCTTCGTCATCCCCATCATCGTCGCTTTCCGAATCCATCGCGTCAAGACTGTCCTCGTCTGTCTCCATAGCAACGTCATTATCATAGGCAGCATCATCTCCACCGTTAGGGGACTCGACGTACCTGACCAGCACGGACCCTCCTCCCAGTGCTACTCTCATGCGGTACGTACTTCGCCAAGGGCTCGGGAGGGGCCACCTTAGCTGCACGCTGTTGAGTAGTGCATACGTTAATCACTGCTTGGACTCTACCGTGCAGCTTGGACAAAGCAGAGTAATACGCAGTACGTTGGTGGAAGGACGCCAACAAGGGAGCTGAAACTGGACGTTCCTCACAGGGCAATTACTCTCCTACTACCAATAACTGCTTTGGTGTCCTCAGGATGCCCAGAGAGGTAGCCAGCATGGACCAACAGCAGATTGCGTGTCCATTCCGACAGGACCACGGCCCGAGCGGGAGACTTGTCCAAAGCGATGCAAATGTGCGACAATATCTGTGCAGCTTCTGGACCTGATGTAGAGCTCTAAGACTAAACTCATCGCCCATATTACCAGTGATGTCCCTCGCAGTAGCTGCCATAACAGCATTGTTGGTAGTATGAAGGACCCGATCAAGAGCCATGGTGTCCCCACCAGCCAAGCCTTGTCGAACAAGGGCCGCCATAGACGCCGAGGATCTGCCAACGAGGTCTACTGGGAGCCTCCAAGGCGTATCAGCTTACCTCGACTTGTCAGCCGGTCGCTTCGCTTTCTTCTGTGCTATGAGCTTCTCTTCAGCCTCCTTGCTTTGCTGGGCCAGAGCCTGAAGGACCGCCGTCCCAACTCGGCGATCGCTGATACCAGTACTACTACCTTCATCTGCTCCTCAGTGGCCGCACGCTTCGACGCAGGTAGCTGAACCATAGTAAATGAGGGACTTCAAGCCTAATGACAGGCCCTACGACACGACACAGCCGCCCTATCCAGAACTAGTAACAAGCCCTCTCAAAGGCGACAACGTGACGATTACGCATCTCCCTCTAGTTGGATCGCTTGATTTGATGCAACCTAACTGCCAGTGCATAACGGAAGTGCATCACTTCTGACTGTATTGCATTGCATACAACCTTCCTTGCATGTAGGGCAGAACTCCGGGACCCTACGACAGAAAGTGTCACGCGCCACGAAATTACGCGCTCGCCCCAACAACGCAAGAACGAGCAGCAACCCAACTGAATGTAGATGACATCCAGTGCTCATCGCTCATAATATAAGACGCCCTTTGATCTCTACCACTCATGGACCGACAGGAACCCAAAGCGGACAGAAGTAGTAGGAGAATGAGGTGTTATGATACTATAATACATTTGATACAAATCTTGACGACAGTACGACTCAAATAGAACGTCACTCTTCCTTCGAGGGCTTCTCCTCAGAATCCTTCTTGGGAACCTCAGTACCCAGATCAGGGCCATCCGAGTCCACTCGGCTGCTACCCTCACAGCTCTTGGGTTCCTCCACTTTGTTTTCGTTACGAGAATTATCATCGTCGGAATCATTCAAATGGAGTAGGTCCACGTCCTGGGGTAGAGAACTAACCGACGAGTCTTGCCGAGCACTCGAAGCGGATGGTTCGTCCCGTTGGAGACTCAGCGCTATCGCTTGTTGCATCATCATTTCCTCCTCATCTTCACTCTGGGGGAGACCTAAGGAAATCTCGCTTTGTGGCAAAGTGCGGACATCCGGGGTCCAAAGCGCTTTGATCGTTCCATCACAGACACAATAGTCCGTGGACAAAGTCGATTCTTTAGATAGCTTTCCCATTCATAGAAGAGAGTATCACTAGAGGGATGACGAAACTCCAAGAGTCCAAGTGTCTTACCGTAATCATCGAAGGCTTCCTGCGTTGGTCGTACCATGTTCAACCCCAGAGGTTGACCTCGGCTATTCTGATCAGACATAACTAATGACACTCCACCAGGACGAGAAATTACCTCAGTTCTCAACGGCCGCCGCTGAGGCATCGTACTTGGGGGCGAATGAGAATGGTCGCGAACCTGTGGGGCCACCGGTAGGGGACCTGAATGGGTTTACGAGTGATATTAGCAGACTACGAATAACGCAGAATTACGACAAGAACTTCCGACAAGTTCCGAACACTGCAGAGTATTGAAAAAAAATATCGCCACTGAATCTGTAAAGAACTTGGGTCTGATCGAATTGTGGTCCCCTTCTACTGTGACCTGCATAAAATCGATCATCGTCTCTCTGGGTTCGCCAACTGGGTCTTACCAAATTCTTGTCACCAGCGTAGGCGTCATACAATGCCCGAGCATGATGGGGTTTCACGAAGGTGTCACCCTCGGCAGCTACGAAAAGTGCAGGAATGAAAGTCCTGTCAACCTATGACCGAATTCACAGCGGAGCGAAGCAATAAATCTTACATGTTTTATGGGCACCAAATCGTTGATGTCGAAATCAGCTCGGCTTTTAATAGAATTACGTATCATACTCATCGCAATGTTAACCACGAATTTCGGCACTCGAAAACCACCGAATTCTATTACCAACTCTTCAGCTACTATACGCAGATCTTGGAAGGGCGAATCCAGCTGAAGAAATACAACGGCACGGTATCAGGAATCAATCGACTTTTTGGACCTATCGTGAGGGCTCTCTTTCTGATACCAATTTTCTGTCAATTCACAGGGCAAGTGAGGTGACCGAAATACCGACCCGCCAGCCAGCACTCAGCATTTTATGCAAGGTATAGCAACAAGCCTCTTCGGATTTCTAGTACAATTCTACGGATCCTGACAAGCTCTCACCCTACGAGCGACATCCTGTCAACCACATATGCGTCATGATCAGCAAGTAGTCATTATTCCCAATCGCGAAAGCCCCAAAGGGCACGTGCCACGATGAGAGCTAAAGACACTCCTTATAATATTCATTACCACCATCCCGGCTATACTGGGGTCCCTGTCACCATGTAGTAGTGCTGTCGCCGCTCCCATGCTACGACCCCACAGACCAATGGTGCCTGATAAGGGATCATGTGAGGCTAACTGAGAGGCTCGGGAATCGTCGAAATATATGTCAGCTTCTGAGGTCAAGAGTCTCCTCGCTGAACATACGAATTGGGCCAGAAGTGTACGAAAACTAGCGATGATTTCCCAAAATTTCCTCAAAATTTTCATACTGTCACCAACACATGTAATTGACCATGTGCAAATTTTCCATACTGGATTGAATGCAACTTACTGACAGTTCCCGTCGCTCTGAGGTGCTCTACTACGCACGCTAGATCGTCTTTTTCGAAGTAACTGCATGCACGATATGTCCGACGACGCGTTAAAATAGGATGCTTACCCTAAGCTCACGTACTCTCCATCAGATCTCCCCGAGCCTGCGAAATCGAAAGTAAAAACTGTGATCCCAAAGGGCAGGAGGACCGGAAGCGCAGACAGGCCCTCAATGCGAGAACTGCAGTTTCCTGATAGTGTGTGAAGGAATTTGCATCTCTCAAGTGTCATGGGCATAATACCGTGGAGATAAACAACACAGGGGAGCTCTTTGGCCGGTCTGCGTTCCGGTTGAAACCAACTGCATTGTAAATGCTTTCCATAAGGATTTTCCAGCACGAGATCAGTTCGGTGGATCTGATAAGCAATCGAATGTGAGAAGAACGGCCCGAGCCTCCTTCCCTACTACTACTACTACTACTACTACTACTACTACTACTACTACTACCACTACTACTACTACTACTACTACTACTACTACTACTACTACTACTACTACTACTACTACTACTACTACTACTACTACTACTACTACTACTACTACTACTGCTACTACTACTACTACCACTTGTCCCGCTATTCGAAATCTCTTAGGGCCCAGATCCTTGAGTTCATATCGATCCCTTGGAGGCCGTATAATCGCCTTCCACAGCTCTGCGTACTGGTCTGAGATGCCCATACAAGAAAACTGGCGCAAAGCAATAACTGCGCACTGCGAAGATTTTCACTCACCCTTAGACAATGAACTTGCTCTATGGATGTGATTCTAAAGTTGAGAATGAATTTTGGCGCTCCCTCGACGGCTAATACGACTTCAGAATTTCAGGAACTTCCCAGAATCAGCAGCAATTCTGAAATCGTATTAGATCGAATTTCCTAATAGGAAGTATTTGCCATCGAATGCCACCGGTGACCTCCGCGGCTTCAAAGTCCCAACAAGCGAGGATGCAAAAAAGAGCGAAATAGACGCATATCGACAGACGCCTTCTCGAGGCTTTCGCTGAGTATTCATATCGTTGCTATGTGTTAGTTGTCGTTAAATGAGACTGTCCTAAATAACGAGCATTACATGATACAACAATCACGTCCTTTTGCTCTAATCTCATGTTCATTGAATCTATTCTGGACCTCCGAATCGATCCTAGCATCGTGTTATACATGTGAGAGGCGATTCTGGAGAGTTTCGAAATGAACGACCCCTGAGTGGTAGTCGCCGTCAGTAGACAGGGAATAGAGACTATCTTGCAAATCTTGGATTTTCTCAACGCTCCGCCAGCATGAACAAGCTTGGCTCAAGTGACATTGGAATGTATGTTAGTCTTCCTCAGCTGAGCTCAGGAGTTTCCTCACTAATTATAGAACCTTACATACGAATTCGGGTAGAAGTGTATAAAAATCACTAAGAAATTCCGAAAATTTCCTCAAAATTTCCATATTGTCACCAACACATGTAGTTGGCCATGCGCATATTTCCTCGTGGTGGTGGTGGCGTTAGCATCTACGATAGTTGCATCATCTACCGACGGGGTGCGACAGTGTGGATGACAAAATGCACATTCCTTAGCACATGATTCGTTTTGAAGTAGTCTTACGTGGCAACGGCATGGTTATCTCGTTGTTCTCTCATTCAAGGGGAAATTTTTTGTGTTTTTCCCGTCATTTTTTCGTGAAATTCTGAACGGATATTGGAACTACATAGTAGAACTCAATGGGGCTCTATTCTATTCTAATTACTCAGTGGGGTCTCACCCGCGTTATGAAACTCACGAGCAGTGGTGATGCTAGACGAAGTCGAAATTTACAAGAAATTATCGTTGAGAATTTTACGAGCGCAAGCCATCCTAGGCCTACTGTCAGCTCTG